GGGCGCGCATGGAATGAGGGTTCATGCAGGAAGTGCTCCATCCTCGAGCGACAACGCCTTGAAGGGGGATTCAGGCATTCGCTACCTCGCGGGAAGCGCACACACATCCTTGAGCGGGCGCGTGTGGAAGGGGGGTGTAGGCATTAGTTGCCATGCTGGAAGTGCACCATCCTCGAACGGGCACGAGGGAAATGGCCTCGGAAAGAAGGGGCGGTGCGCGCAAGAGTCTGCGAGTAGGGAGGGGGAGGTCCCTTATTAGAATTCAAAAAACTGTCCCAGGCATACCTTGGCATCTTGCCACATCGCAACGCCATGGATGCACGGTGGCGGATTTGCAGAGCTTTCATGCGCTCCGGAGACTATTTCGGCGTGCCAGGAACAGTTTCCGTATTCCGGAAACAATGATCGCACGTTCCAGGAACAGGTTTTTCCCGAAATTGGTTTCGCCTGTTTCAGAAACAAGTTTCGCCCCTTCCCGAAACAGACTTCACCCGTTTCAGAGGCCAGCATCGCCCGTTCGGGAAACGCCATCCAAATATTTGCGTTTGAGATGTTTTGCCGAATTGGTCGAGTGTACGTTTTAACAAAATCAGTGTTCCCTGTTTGTTTCTCTCGTTTGTTTTGGTCCATATTATTCTGTCGATGCGTTATTTCTTATATATATATATAGCATGATGTATGAATTATGTTGTTGAGTGCGTGCGGGTCCATGTATTATTGTATCGCGCGTGTTGTTATGTTATAATATATGATGGTGTGTATGTGTGTGCCCTTTGTCCGTTCATTTTCCCAAAAACAAAAACACATGTTTCATACCATATCAGATCATATCATATCATATCATATCATATCATATACAATGTAACAGTACTGGCTCTCTTCATCGAGCGGATGGACGATCATCGAAATCGGGGAGAGAATTGATTGAATAACCCAAGACGGGTTTCATAAGTTTCATTGCAATGGTTTCAATAGTTGCGAACATTGCAATAATTGCGCACAGTGGCTTCAATGTTTGCGAATACTTGTAGTTATGGCTCAATAACTAGCCATTGATTTGAATACCTCTGAAAATCGTTTTGTTTAGTTTGTTTGATGTTGTTGCTTTGTTTTGTCTTGTTGTCATGCAATTGTTTCCGGCATCTTCCTTGGTACGGTTGTTTGTTGTCTGTTTTTTCCTGCGTGAAATACGGAGGCACCATCGAGACGTGCACAGATGAAATCGGCATAGGCGATCAAAATAGACCAAAGACATCACGAGCTTTGAGAGAGCGTGATTCACCGCCGCTTTATTGCGGAAAATTGCCGCCCTCTTCCTCCGGAACCCGGAGGTCCCCCCCCCCTCCGAAAATCCCCCCCCCCTGCTGGACCCCCCCCCCTCCCTACCCCGGCAAACCCCGCCCCTCCCCTAACCCCCCCCCTTCCTCCTCGAAAACCAAGGGGGTCACTACCGGTTCGTCCTCCCCCCCCCTTTGAAAACCGGAGGAGGGGTCACTGCCGGTTCGAACCCCTCCCCACCCCCCCCACTCACCGCCAGCAAACGACTCCCGGTCCCTACCACCGTCCGCACCACATCCCCCAGTGTTTTTCCCAGCGCCACTGTCTTCACCACCACTGTCTCCACTGGTTCCATCACCGTCCTACTGTCCCACCAGTGCCCCCACCATTGTTGCACTGTCCCCCCTGTCCCCACCACTGTTCCCACCACGGCTCCACTCTCCCCAGTTTCTCCACGGCCCCAAGCACTGCCCGACTATCCCCACTGTCCCACTGATTCCGCTGTCCCACTGAGCTGTCCCCACCACTGTCCCCACTGTCCCCACTGTACTTCTGTCACAATGTCCCACCGCCGTCCTCGCCACCGCCTTCACCACTGTCCCCACCACCACTGTACCCTCCACTGTCCCACTGTTTCCACCTCATTCCCACTGTCCCCACACCACTGTCCCCACCACCACCGTCCCCACCACTGTCCACTGTCCCCACTGTTCCTATTATTGTCCTCACCACTGTCCCTACCACTACCGTCCCAACCATTGTCCCACCGTCCCCACCACTGTCCCGCTGTCCCTTCGCCATCACCACCACCGTCACCACCACTGTCCGCACCCTTCTTCGGTTTTCGAAGGGGGGGGGGTCCGAACCGATAGTGACGCCCCCCATGTTCTTCGAGGGGGGGGGGAGGGGTTCGAACGGGTCTCCCCTTTTCATGATGAACTGGGGAACGGGCGGGGTGGAGGGGTTCGAACCGGTAGTGACCTCCCCCGGCGCCAACAATGGTAGCACACGCTCTTTTTGAATTTCAGGGACAATGACTACGCAATTTTCGGTAGAAAAAACGCAAATAATTTATGTTGGCTTAAGTAGACAAGTCCGCA